CACCATCAGCCCTAAATATTTGCTTAGTAGTCACTCAAAACTCAAAGAACCTTATCAATGCCTCTCAAGGCAGGTTAAGCCCCTCAGCAACAACCTTACGCAATAAGGAGCAATTAACATGAAAGTCCATTGGAAAAGAAGCTAGTGCTTCTTCCAAATAGCACTTCAAACAGGGACAAATCAAGCACACATTACATTTTCATTATGGGTGTCTACCAAACTCCAATACACAACCTCCCTAGACACCTGTTTCTTCAAATGCTGGTGCAGAGAATCAAGAAGCTGTATCACAGACCATCTTCTCTGATAGTAGCCATGTTTCTCTGACATGAATTATCTTGCCATGATTGCTAACTAAGAGAATGATGTTTGATACAAGTAAATCATGATTCATATGCATTCTTCCTCATGTGTTACTACTTCAAAGCAATCACAGGTAAGCACTCAAGAGAAAAAGGTGAATATATGAAAACCTGATAACCAAAGTGTAAATGCACTCAAGTGTCTTCCTCTATTGTACGTGGTGGCGGTGGTAATGGCAGCTGCTAATTTAGTCACTCCAAGCACCATTATGTTCTCCACTGTTAACCTGCATGGTCAAACTCCAAGGACAGAAACTACCAAAACATGGCTCCCAACAGGGAAAAAAATGAAGAATGCCACTCCCTGGACCTGAGCTAACTTGTAAGAAAATGCTCTCTATTGCAAGTGAAGGCCCTGTGTCATCAACAGGAAGAAAAGGAAGCACAAGCTCCATCTGAAGACTGTAAAAATGACAAATCACACACAGTGGAGATCAACTGAGCTGTATTTTTCTCAGATCTGCTTCTGTTGTTGTCAGCAAAAGGTATTCACCAATCCACCTCAATCCTGCTTTGCCCATAAGCTCCATATTTGGGGGAGTGTGATTCATGCAGAGAGCAAGGTGCACATGGAAAGCAACAGTGAAAATACTGACACTTGTCCCTGTAACAGAGTCCATTTCTAACCAAAGCAAATTTCACTGAATAAACCTACAACTATTGTATTTATTTGGATGAACAAATACTATTTTTAATTTGGAATAACATTTTCTTATGTATAATACAAACATTCATACAATCACACATATGTACTTAAATAGATATGGAAGAAGAGATACATGTTAATCCCTAAAGATAACTCGCCTCTTCATGGCATTTTATCCTTTCAAGATAGAACGTTGGAAAATATAAAGACGCTGAATATTGACACAGAAGAACCTGTCAAATCCCCCTCAAGAATTCTCTACTTGGGGCCCTACACAGTAGCCTAGCAACTAAAGTCCTTGCCTTGCACACACCAGGTTCCCATATGGGCGTCAATTCGTGTCCCAGCAACCCTGCGTCCCACCCAGGTCCCTGTTCATGGCCTAGGAAAGCAGTCAAGGACAGCCTAAAACCTTGGGACCCTGCACCCATGTGAGAGACCTGGAACAGGTTCCAGGCTCCTGGCTTCGGATCAGCTCAGCTCTGACTGTTGCAGCCACTTAGGGGAGTGAATCAACGGACCGAAGACCTTCTTCTATGTCTCTTCTCTCTGTATATCTCACTTTCCAATTAAAAAAATAAAGTAAATCATTATAAAAAACAATAATTCTCCATTCGGCCATTACCGACTACCTCTACACACACATACACATATGGCATAATCTGTGGATTTCTTTGGCAGAAAAGAGGAGACTTCCTCCACCACACCAGCTCAGCACAGGGGAAAGATGTAAGGCACCCTCTATCAGCAAGGAGAGCCCGCTGGCTGAAGCTCAGCTGTATTCAGCCTTTTTAGTGAACAACTCTTAGTAAGGGACTCGGCCAATTCTCTTCCACAGAACTAGACCGCTACCATGGGTTTTACCAACCACTGGGAGACCACGAGGCAAGAAGGAAAGAGTCTCACTCAACATTACCGAAAACAAAGGTTACCCAAGTGCTTTATGAATTTGAAAACCCATCTTCTTTTTGCTGATTCTGACCAGGAATAATGGAATGTGCAAAGCGCTGGGGGCTCGGAGACAAACAAGACCAGAAAAGTGAGTGCCGGTTCCACTGATGATGACCTCCGGTCATGCAAGCATCTGGGTGTAGGAATGATCAGAATTCCGCAGCTACAAACTCTAGTGCCTACCAAGTTACATTCCCAAGAGTAAAGAATGGGTGCTTGGTAGCACAGAGCCCTGGGCACAGCAACTGAAGAGCCATGCTCCATCTGAAAGTACTCAAACACATTTTCTTACCTACCACTGAGGCAAGAGAGAAACACAGGCAGAAAATCTAGACCTGGCTCATGGTGCCACAACACAACCCCTGTGTTTAGAAGGTGGCTCTGAATAAAGCCTTTGACACTGCATCAGCCACGGGTTAAAAACACCTTCATAGACATGCTGGCCAGATTGCCTTGGAAAACCACGAGAACGCCACTGCAGGACAAGCAAAGCAGGAGCATCTATCAAGACCCCAAATGTGGGAAACGGGGCTGGATTCCACAGCTCCCCATCTTGAGTGAAGAGCTGAGGTCACATGAGGTTTCCAGCTCCAGGCGACTTCAGAGTCAGCACCTGTTTCTTTTGCAATGCTATTTGAAGAAGGCTTAGTAGTCACAACCCAAATCGCTTCTTTACCATAAAAGGTCAGCAGAAACCCACAAAAGGGGTATCAAGAGCCAATACACTAATGCTTAGCTCTCTGGGATCTTGGTTAAAGGTCAAGAAGAGTCATCTTTTGTGCCCTTGAATACCATACTAACTTAGGGTACGACCCTATTTAAAATGTGACTTCTTTTCCTCCTTTCCAGGTCAATGTACTAAGAGTTCTTCTGAACTCAACGACCTCTTTTTACGCTTACAACTGTTTCAGGAATGTGTATGCTGATGTGTGCGTAGCACTGCCTAACTGTTTTTCAATCTGAACGAGTTAAATTCCAGCATCCATGTCATGCGATATAGACACAGGGTATAAAAATGCTGACATCTGCTATATTCTTGTAATGCCGCTGAGCCCTTTTGGTCATGACCACACAAATAACTGGCCACCAGGAAAATTATTTTACACCTAGCTCAATTATCTTCCACCAGAGATATCGTTATCATTCCCACTCTGCTTTTGATTAAGAACTTCTGAGGTGCTCCTCCTCAAAAACTCTTGCGTCAAGAAGAGCAAATTCAGACAGTCCCTCCTTCTGAACTTTCAGTGGGGTAAAACCAGCAATTCCTAATACGTCCTCCTCAGGGCTTTGGCAGTGCAACTTTTCACCTGAGCAAAAAATAAATGGACTCCACATCCAGGGACAGAATAATCTATGCTCCTAAGCAGATCATCTTTGCTCCTGAACTGGACCCACTGGTGGCCGACAGCCTTCTGATGCTGGGTGTCCCTCAGCAATGTCAGCTAAACTTTCCATAGCACAGTGTGTCAGCTTTCAGCTGCAGAAGCGACTCTGCCATCTTGAAAAAAAGACCAGAGTGCTTGGATGATGAAGCAGGTGCCATGTACCAAGTTCCTCACCAGGTCTCCATCCGATTCCCATCTTCTCTCCTTTGGCTCAGGGATGAGGGAGGCCTACACGTGGACACCTGGTCGAGCAGCACCATTCCTGTACCCCATCTCATCTGCCCCACTCAATGGCAGTCCATGACCCAGTCTCACCAAGTCCAGAATGATTCCTGGCCACACGTCTGGAGGCCCACTGGCCATTGTACAGGTTCATGCCAGCCAGCAAGTGTACTTTGTGAATACACCAATGAGGGCCGGAGGGGAAGCAGCTCCGGGTAGGGAGGAACCACCCTGTAATCTCTTATCCCAAAGGTGAACTCCACCCATTTCTTCCCTTCCAGGTGCTCATCTCAGTTTAGCCAAAAGCCTGCAGCCCTAACCGACTCAGGACCCTGGGTGATCTGCTGCAGGGGGCGCTTTCTGGCAGACTGAGTAAACCTTCTGGACAAAGATGGCCGGTCTCCAGGCCTTCCTGTGGGGAACCAGCTCCTCTCTGAGGCCACGCTCCCCAGGGAACTGGCCGTTGCTTCCTGTCTGGTCCACCTGTTAGGAATCCCAAGCAGGAGCCACTGGCTTGTCCAGACGATGAGTGTGTCGGAAAGACACCCGGCTGACCCCACTCCCTCACCACTTTGCAGATGACTTTAAAAGGATGGCCACTACCTGCATGGACCTGGACACGTTATCTGAGAGCAGGGCTCACATCCCAGGTCCTGTAGCAACCTGCACCGCCCACCACCCACTTGCAGGTGCCCTTCCCCTTGCACCGAGGGCCCTCCGCAGCGCCCCCTTTCCCCTCCAGTAAGCGCGGCACCCGCAAGGACCGCCCCACGCCCCAGCCCCGAGGGCTTCCGAGCCAGGGGCGGGGGCAGCAGGTGGGGGGAGGGGCCCGGGGACCCAGGAAGGGGTTTCAAGGGTGACTCCTGGGCTCCCACCTAGCCGCCTGCTTCGGGGTCCCCCAGGACCCTCACCTCGCTCCAGCCGAGCTCCAGTTGGATTGCCTGCCCGCCCCCCCCCCCCGCAACACACACGCAGAAGCCGGCTCTCCCGCGCCCCCGGGCCACACACCTCGCACCCCCACTGGCCGCAGCGGAGCCCCCCACATTCCTGGCACGTCCAGTGCTGACTTTTACCTGTACTTTCTGCACTCGAGACGGCTCGTCGGGCGACAAACGCCTCCCCGGACCGCTACCTCCCCCGCCCGGCTCCGCCCGGCTTCCTCCTTCCACCACCACCCCCCCAAGGCCGCAAAGTAGATGGAGTAAGAGAGTGTGTGCGAGAGAAAGAGAAAGAGCGAGCGGGCGCGGGCGCCGCGGGAGGCGGCGGGCGGCGCGCCCGGCCCCCGCCACCCTCCGGCCGCCGCTGCCGCCACCCGCGGGCTCGGCAACTCCGGCTCGCGCCCGGCCCGGCCCCGGCCCAATCCCCCGCCGCCCGCCGCCCGCCGCCTCCCCGGCTGGGGCCGGCCCGCGCCCCCGCGGCCCCGCGGCCCCGTACCTCGTAAAGGTCCCCAGAAGCCATGCCAGGCTGCGGAACTTGGCTCGCCGGGGTGTGCGCGTCTGCTCGCTCGCGCCCTCCTTGCGTGTGCGCGCGGGGGCTAGTGTGCGTGTGTGTGTGTGTGTATGTGTGCGCGCGCGCGCGAGTGTGGTGTGTGTGTGTGTGTGTGTGTGGTGTTGAGTAAACTGTGTTTTTGCAGAATGACAGGCTTGGGGGCTGCCTATGCGCAGAATCAGAGCGGGCGGCGGCGGCGGCGGGGCTGGCGTAACCGGCAGTGGCGGCAGCGGCGGCGGCGGCGGCACGAGCGCGGGCAGGAGCGACGGCCGCGCAGTGCGCCCGAGAAGGCACGGACGCGGCCCGAGCGCCGCGGCCCCCCGCGACCCGGCGACCCGGCGCTGGTGGCTACAGCCGGCAACGGCTCGCCCCGGCGCCGCCTGCAGGAAGCCGCCCCGCGCCCGCCGCCAGCCCGGACGCTGCTGCCACTGGGCGAGTCCCCGCCCCCCGGGAGCCCGGCCCGGCCCCCGGGGCGGGAGATGGGGGAGGCGGGGGCGGCTGCCCGGCCGCGCCCCGGGGACGGAGCCCGAAGCCCCGGGAGCACTCAGACCCGCCCCTTTGGCCCCGGGCCCCCCGGCCGAGGGACCCCCGGGGAGGTGGTGGCGGGCCAGGTGAGCGCCGGGCGTGCACGACCCCCGGCACGCGAAGGGGCGGCCTGCATGCAGGTAGGGGGCGGCTGTGGGCGCGGGTCCTAAGGAAGGAGCCCACGGAGTGGCCGCCCCTGGGTGCCCACTGCACCCTACCACCACTCCCCAGCTCCAGGAGCGGATGGGCCACCTGAGACCTGGCCCCGTCGGAGCTGCGTGGGGCCCCTCCGGACTGGAGGCCACTGGGGAGACAGGAAATGAAATGGCCCCTGCTGGAGTGCCAAGGGGAGCCAGGACAGCGTGGTGTTACACACATGTACCCCCAAAAACCTGAAAAGTCTTAAGAGCCAAGTGTAACCTTCCCACAACATTCCCTTCCTCCCCGCCATTTACTCAGTCGTCTTGGTTGATACACAAACATTTCACAAAGTCTACTCAACTGCACAGAGCCCCGGAACAGGCACAGCTGGGACCCTGCCCACAGGGGACTCTCTATCCATGAGCGGACACGAGGTCCGCAGCTGCAGAGCTCCTGGGAAAATCCTGGCGTCGGGGATAAAGGGCCTGGAGGGGCATCCCTTCTAACTAAGGCCATGGATAGGTGTAAAAAGCTCTACTTAACAACACAGTCATCTCCAGCCTTAGAGAGGCAAAAAGTCCCAAAATGGAAGACAAGGTCTTCTTCCGCCACCACCGAAACAAACAACCCGCGCGCATCACAGCGCTCCCTCCAGGTGGGAGGTGGCCATAACTACACCTTTGGTCACCAGAGCCCTGGGAGCGGTGTTGCCTGTGGAGCTCAGAGCAGGATGACGCACACCTGGAGTGCCATGAGTAGATGGGATCAGAGCTGGGCCAAGGTCCTTTGTTTCTGAAACTGGACTCTGTCTGTCCTCCTGGAAGCCGCCATAGCCAAGGGGCTGGAGGAAGTGGCTTGATCCAGAGGCTGTCAAACTTTTTTAAAAGTCACGGGTTTTATTTTTTTATTACAGTTGCATCTACATCACGAAGGTTTTGTTTGTTTGTTTTGGTCTGGTTCATTCCAGGACACACGAGTTTGCATATGCTATTCCCTCTGCCCGGAGTGTTCTTCTACATTGGGTCCATCTGGAAAGTTCTTTGTTTTTCCTGAAGACGCGTGACTATCTCCGTATCACCCATACTTACCACTTCACCTGACAGTACACGCTGTGCCAATACAACAAGCATTACACCAACGTCTAGATGAAAATCTCATATGGAAACAGCGAGGGTTGGGGGGAACCAGGGTATGGAAATCAAAGAAAGTTTGGTTTAGCAGCTGTGAACGTGTTAGCCTTGTTCTTTTTTCTCTTGGTGTTGATATTTTCCCCAATGATCATGGTCATTTTAAATAATTGCATTAATAACAAGCATCTCTATATGTAGGTAGAAAAGTGTAAGGATCCTAAGTTTGTACTTGGAAATCAGTTCCCCCACCGTAGCATGAGGATGTAATTTGGGAGTAGAAGACAAGAAAGAAACTGGGTTTGGAAATAATATGCTAGCCAGATTTGAATATATAATCAGTAGTTTCACAAAAACACCAAAACTTGACTTGTGCTGGCCAAACAGTCCGTGGGGATAAGAGCAAAGCTTGGAAAACCCTTGTCTAGGCAACCTCTGCTTGCAGTGTTCATGGAAAGGGATACAGCATAGACTAGAATGCTCGGGGCCAGGAAGGGGGCGGTATGCGGAGGACACAGAACCCACCTAGATGTGGAAGGCTTAGAGAAAAGAAGGGATAGTGTTCTGATTTGGAGGAAGGAGTTGGGGTGGACGGTAACAGTGAGAGAACTGGAAGACTGACCCGTGGAGATTGAAGGCCATGGCAGAGTCCGTTCGGGCAGTCTGCAATAACGCTGGACTCTGATGCCTGGGACTCAGCAGCTCGGCGATGGGACACAGAGTCCATCAAAAGCAAGCAATAACCAGAAGGGAGCTTTAGAAGGCGAATTCTAGAAGCAATAGGAGAAGGAAACTGGCAAGGCTTGGAGGATAAATGCCGGGAGATCATTTGCAGTGGTTACCTCCAGTAGCGGCAGTAGAAATAGAGAAGGGATGTTCAGAAGGAAGAACTTGCATTCCGTTTACTCCACCTACTTCCATGAAGCATTTGCTCCAGATCAACACACTTGATGACTAACAGGATGTGTGTATGTGAGTAGCACACGGACTTGGGGGAGGGGCAAGCCACTAAGCAAAGAAAGGATGCAGAGATGACTAAGGTTTTAAATGGTGCGACAGAGTGGCCCATCCAGCTTAACACTTCACATTTACCCTTCCCAGGAAGGGCAGATGCTTCGGCGGGGGCGGGGGAGAGATCCAGGGGAAGAGTCTGTCACCTTTTCTAAGAACCAAACACTGGACAATGCATCAGGAGAAGGTGGAGAACTCTTACTACTCAGGAAGAATGGTCCATAGCTGTCAGCTTCCTCAGTCTGGGGCAGACCTTTGTGCTACTCATAACTCAAGGGCAGGTGACAGAAAACTCCAAAGAATTTACTGATTCACACCATTGGAATTACTTTCAGGACTGGCTAGCCAGACTCGAGGGCTCAAGGAATATAAAAAGGCTTCTTCCAACTCTCCACTTCTTTCTGTGTGCTGCTCTGAGTCCAGCTGAAGATGAACTTCCTCCTCCATGCAGCTAAGATCCTACCACCTGTGGACAACATCATCTGGGCTTACTCTAAATCTCAGGAAAAGCTCTGTTTGGCCATAGCCAGTCTCTTCATGCTTAAGCCCAATCGCTATCAGTCACTGATGATGTACTGTTGTTATCCAGTACATGGGTAAGTTTCTTTCCCATCTGCTGGTGCAGGAAGAATGCAATGATTAGCCAACTAACCATAATATACTATGATTGGAACTGAGGATAAGCTGGAATTCACAGGAACAGAGAATGGGACACTGCAAAGGTAGATGTCTACCAGGTACCAGAACAGAATGGGGACTTGAAAGTAAGATGAGTAGTTGCCTACAACATGGTCTCATTTAACCAGTTGAACAGCCAAATGCTCTTAAAGTGGCATTAAAATAAAGCAATATTCCCCTCCTGGTGTTACTTGAGACACAATCTTGACCTCGTGTATGGAACGGTAGCTGAACAGGTGCACCCCAAATGGACTCTCTGCGTTCCAGTTCTTGACCACTATTACTAATTCTACAATAGAATGCTTCTCTCTGCCCCATTTCCCAATGCACTATTTGTTTCATAATAAATTACTCCCCAAACTTGGTGATTTGGAAAAAAAAAATTCCAATCTCACACAGTTTTTACAGGTTGTTGATTTGGTTCAGACTCAAAGTCTCATGAGATTGTGGTTAAAATGTTCACTGGGATTCTAGTAATCTGAAGGTTTGGCTGGGGCTGGAGAATCTGCCTCGAAGCTGATTCATGCACACAGCTGCTGGCAGAGGCCTCACCTCCTAGCAACACGGTTCTCTCCACAGGACAGATTCAGTGACCTCACAGCATTCTAGCTAGCCTTGGCACTGTCATTGGTGTGGCCACAGTAAGACTATTGGATGCAGAGCTGATTCCAGGGTATCAAACCAGATAAATGAACCATTTCCCCCATTTTAATAGTGAGAAAAATGGAAACCCAATGCGGATAATCCAGAACAAAAAAGGGGTGGAGTGTGAGAATCAAGAGGAAGTCACAATGCTTTTGAAGATCTAACCCTGGAGATGAAACAAGTTCACTTCTACCATATTCTACTCTTTAGAACTTAACCAACAATGGGCCTGGTGCAATAGCCTAGTGGCTAAAGTCCTCTCCTTGAAAGCACTGGGATCCCATGGGGTGCCGGTTCTAATCCCAGCGGCCCCCCTTCCCATCCAACTCCCTGCTCGTGGCCTGGGAAAGCATTCAAGGACAGCCCAAAGCTTTGGGACCCTGCACCCCTGTGGGAGACCCAGAAGAAGCTCCTGGCTCCTGGCTTCAGATCAGCTCAGCTCCAGCCGTTGCGGCCACTTGGGGAGTGAACCATCGGACAGAGGATCTTCCTCTCTGTCTCTCCTCCTCTCTATATATCTGACTTTCCAATTAAAAAAAAAAAAAACTTAACCAACAAGACAAGTATGCGCCAGGGCATGGGTGAGTAAATTAGACCTCACTTTTAAAGGGAGGGAGGACTAACAAAGACTTTGTAGACCTATTTTCAAACCATCATGTCCTCTTTGTAAATGGAGGTGCCAGATTCCTCAAAGAATTGTAGAGAATTACGTGAGCTAATCCGTACAACATACCTACCACTAATAAAGATTGAATAATGGCATTTCCTATAATTACTGTTATGGCTACTATTGCCAGTTTCAACTTTGATATGTGTCACTGATATCCTTAATGATTCAAGATTGCTTTAGAAAAGCAGCAAGTTGGGCCCAGCACAGTAGCCTAGCGACTAAAGTTCTCACCTTATACATGCCAGAATCCCATATATGGCACTGATTCTAATCCCGGCATCCCTGCTTCCCATTGAGCTCCCTGCTTGTGTCCTGGGAAAGCAGTCAAGGATGGCCCAAAGCCTTAGGACCCTGCACCCATATGGGAGACCTGGAAGAGGCTCCTGGCTCCTGGCTTTAGATCGGTGCAGCTCTAGCCATTGTGGTCACTTGGGGAGTGAATCAATGGATAGAAGATCTTCCTTTCTGTATATCTGGTTTTCCAATAGAAATAAATAAATCTTGAGGGGAGAAAAAGGAAAAGAAACAAGTCAACTAATACCTTGAAGCCATACAAAAACCTATGTCTCAA